CTTTGAGGATTCGAATTTTGAACGAGGTCGGAAACAAGTTTAGCACTTTATCTCAGCAATGCGACAGGAACCCGGGGCCCGGACAAACGCTGAACGCTAATCTGTTTGACTGGAGCCCAATTGACAAAGAAGTTACATCCTGTTAAAGAGTCACCAAGCCGAAAGGCTGAAGAGCCCCAGTGTTAGCGTTTGATTTAATATTATTATTATTTCGCCGATTTTTGTACCAGAGCTAGCAAAATAACCACCGGCTCGATTTTGTTCAAATTGTGTATGTGTATGAAGACCGTTGGGTACTAGTGCCCGCCAAAAACCCAAGGCCGTAGGCCCAAAGGCCAAGGGCAGATAACTAAAAATCAAGACTTGTTTAAAGATGTATTTCGCCCTATTGCTCCGCAACCGCTTATCCGATTACTTTGAAAACTTGCATGTATCTGCTGCTTGAGCTGCTTGGCGTTTTTTGTTCTTTTACTTTGGTCATTGGTCACATGGTTTGGCAGCCATATTAGATTCAAGGTTTTCACAGTGTCTTTGGGGTACCTGTGTTCAAACGCAAACAACTCCGAGTCCACTGCATGAAATGCTTCCAAATTTTCTGAGAATTGTCTCCACACACAACACAGCAAACTCTAATAGCCGTTTTTGGATATCTGTTTTAGTTGCGGTTGTATTGGATTTTGATTTTGACAACAAAAATTACCGAAATTTTACTTTAACGATCATATCTTGTTAGCTTATTGACAGAAACTATTGCAAGTTTACATGAAGTTAGTGTATCATATGCATCTTATTTTCTGTTCTTGGGTGTATGGAAAAAGTAACAACACTTGGTGGTAATATTTGATTAAAATTTGGGACATCCCTGGAACACGCCAATGTCCTGCAAACGGTGACTATCTTTTGACAGAGTTGGTACAAACAAACCATTAGGGGATTCGATCATGGACGGGGTCGGAAATGGTTGTAGAACATCCCGGGACGTTCTGGGACACGTCGATGTCGTAGCGGGGATGTCTCGCAAGTGTTTCCTTACTTTTGACGGCGTCGGTACAAACAAACCATTTGGGGATTCGATCATGGACGGGGTCGGAAACAGGTTCAGCACTTAATCTGATCATTGCGACAAAAACTCGGGGAGTCCTAATCCGTTTGACTGTAGCTCAAATGACAAATAAGTTACAGCCTGAATTACACTGCAATATTAGCAGACCTGAAATGCTGTAGAGCCCCATTGGGACCGTTCGATTTATAATTATTATTATTACGCCGATTTTTGTACCAAAGATAGCAAAATAACCACTGGCTCGATTTTGTTCAAATTGTGTGTGGGTATGTAGACCGTTGAGTACTAGTGCCCGCCAAAATCCCAAGGCCGTAGGCCCAAAGGCCAATGGCAGATAACTGAAAAACAAGCATTTTTTAAAGATATAATTTGCCCTGTTGCTCCATAACCGCTTGTCCGATTGCTTTCAAACCTTGCATGTATCTACTGCTTCAGATGCTTAATAATTTTTGTTCTTTGACTTTGGTCATTGGTCACGTGGCTTGTCAGCCATATTGGATTCAAGGTTTTCACAGGGTTTTGGGGGTACGTGTACCTGCAAACGGTAACTATCTTTTGACGGAGTTGGTACAAGCAAACCCTTTGAAAATTAGAACGTAGTCAGAAAATAATTACGAACACCATGCGTCACTCCTCAACACGCAAATTTCTTAGCGACAATGTCCCGCAAGCGTTGCCTACATTTGACAGCGTTGGTACAACCAAACCATTTGGGGCTTCGAACATGGTCGAACAAGTTGGAAATGGGTTTAGAACATCCTGGGACACCCTAACACATGCCAATTTCGTAGTGGTGATGTCGTACAAGCTGTTCCTTACATTTGACGACGTTGGTACACGCAAACCCTTTGAGAATTCGAACATGAATGAGGGACACGCCTACGCTTTGACGGCGTTGTTACAAACAAACCATTTGAGGATTCGAACATGGACGAGTTGGGAAACGGGTTTAAGCACCCTGGGACACTTACAATTTCGAAGCTGCGATGTGCCGCAAGCGTTTCCTTACTTTTGACAGCTTTGTTAGAAGCAAACCCTTTGAACATTCGAACATGGACGAGTTCGGACATGGGTTTAGAACACTCCCCGACACTATGGGATACGCTGATTTAATAAAGGTTATATGCCGCAAGCGTTACCTTACTTTTGCGTTAGTACAAACAAACCATTTGTGGATTCGTACATGGTTGAGGTCTGAAATTGGCTTAAAACACTCTGGGACACTCCGGCACAAATCAATTTGGAATAGGCGATATCCCGCTAGCGTTTCCTTGCTTTTGACGGTGTTGCTACAAGCAAACCCTTTGAGGATTCGAACATGGTCGCGGTCTGAAATGGGTTTAGAACATGCTGTCACTCCCCAACACATGCAATGTCGTAGTGGCGATATCTCGAAAGCTTTTGACGGCGTTAGTACAAGCAAACCATTTGTGGATTCAAACATGGTCAAGATCATTAATGGGTTTGGAACACTCTGGTACACGCCATTCGTATTGGTGATACGCTGCAAGCAAAGCATTACTTTAGAAAGCAATGGTACAAGGAAACCATTTGTTGATTCGAGCATGGTTGAGGTCGGAAATGGGTTCAGACACATGCCAATTTCGCAGAGCCTAACCTTTGACGTTGTTGGTACAAGCTAACCGTTTGAGGATTCGAACATTTGTGTAGCGTACAATTGTGGGCACACCCGTTTGTGAGAGAGGACGCTTGTGTGTACATTTATGCGTGTGGACATACGTATGTACGGTGTATCAGTGTGTACGTCTGTTTGTGCATGCTTTTGTGGGCACCTACCTGCTTACGTTTCTTGTGTGTGCTTGTTTCTTTGCGCGTCCGAGTTTATTACGTGCATAAGTTTGTGCAAGTGTGAGAAACTTTGCGTTTGCCCGTGCGTTTATGGGCGCTTCCGTGCATACGTTAGTACGTGCGAACGTGGCGTTTGGCGTACGGTGTGTATTTGCGCTTGCGCGTGCGTGCGTCCCTAGGTACGTTATTTGTTTCTGCATGCGCACGTTAGAGAGCGTGCGTTTAGCGTATGTTTGTGGGCTTGTTTTTCCCCGTATCTTTGCGCACATTAGTGCTTGCGAGCGTTTGTGCGTTAGTGCGAGCGTGCGTTTGTGTTTGTACATGTGGTATGGAAGTGCGTACGTACGTGTGTACTTGTGTTTGTTTAGCAGCTATCACCGCCGAAACTAATTATCCAATGGCATCCAAATTTGGCAGGAGACGCCGGCATTATGTCCATCAATATCACCTCGACGTTCCATGACGCTAAATCCCATTGTATGGCAGCCAAATTGGATTGAGGGTTTTGGCCATGTATTTCAGCAGTTTCCTCACTACTTGTCTGCCAAAGTATTTTCCTCTCAAACTATCTGAGCAAAGGCTTTGATGAGTGGTGCAGATACAAAGGAGCGATATCCTGATGAGGAGGGGACTCTTTCTTGGAGTACTACTCAAATATAACAATTTGTTTCAAACATGCTATTTAACCTATTGTTCATCACCCGCTCATCCAATAACTGTCAAACTTTTGTTTTTACAATCATGAGATGCCGGTCACCTTTTATTCTTTGACGTCATAGGTGATCTAGTGTGGCAGGCACTTTTTATTAAACATTATAAGTGTCACATGATTGAGGGTCCGTTTTCCAGAATGTTCTCCGATGAACGTACATATTGAAATGTATTCTAATGTTCTATATAGACACCAAACCTATTATCTGAATAATGAACGAATAATGAAAATGTCTTTTGGTGGACAACAATTAGGATTTTGCTTCTGATTGATTATTCAAAGAAATAACACCAGGCTGAATGATACATATCTTTTTAATATTTCAAGTAACATGATACATAACTGAAAATGGAACATTGTTATTGAAAACATTTAGCCACTGTGTAACTTTGTTGTGCTTAACATAAAAAAAAGTTATTTTAAAAAAAGCTATCATTTTAGGGGATGGACTGAAATAGCCCCATACCCCTTACATGCTACAAATTTAGCCAAGGAGAGCAAATGCGCTCTGTTCTGATCATAAATTGTTCCACAAGATTGATCAGTTGATGCAGGTAGCATGTTTTGGTGTACAACCCACTCTTAAGAACAGGAAAGTATGGGTTGATAAAGGTTTACGGTTTAAGTTTCTGCACAAAAATTGCTCTTGAAAAATAAGATGATGAAATACTCAATGGTATTTCTGTGCGCTATATACCCTCTTGGGAAGAAATTAGGGAACACTGAAACTACGAAAACTTCGCTTTTACATAAAATTGTGAAAGGGGTCGATTTCTGATTATAAGAATTGATCATGGGTCAGCTGATAACATGAATGAAGAACTGGAGCTTGAAATGATGAACTCTGATGGAATTGGAAGGATGTCCATGAAATCACAACTGTTATACTAGTGCTGGACTAGTTACTGACAACACTTTATCATGTGGCATGGTGACTTTGGAGTACAATTTCAAACATTGGTCCAATCAAATTGGAGACAAATTCAATTGTTCACAGTCAGGAATCCTTTTTGAGGTTGAATGAGCACACAATACAAGCGTTGTCATACATCTGGCACCTGTCATCAGTGAAGGTAAAGGTCACGACATTCTGTTACTCTCACACAAGTCAACAGTTCTTGTTCAGTTTCCATATGTACCATCTGATGTCCACTGGTTGCATCAGAAAGATAACAGTTTTCGTTGATAGAAGATGTACTTGGTAACAGATTACAATTTAAGGTACTGGTCGTCCTCAGGTGATTCATCATCTGTTAAACTCTCATTGAGTCTGCAGTTAACGTTGTGCATCTTCTTCATTTACTAGTAAAATGATGTCTCTTCAACTGTCATATACTGTATTTGAGATATGTTTTCAAATACAAGGTAACCCATTCAGTTTTCAGTCCAGACACTTGTCATTACAACATATTTTGTTTACCATTCATTGAACATGTTGAAGAAGAAACCAATCAGTTCCAATTCAGATCGACCCTGTAACAATGTGGAGAAATCAGTGATGTTTTCTTCATAACCACCTGTTCATACAATAATACAACAGGAGATTGTTGCCGAGATAAAAGACTTCTACTGAACTCTTTTTAAATATTAGCATGATAAGTATTCCCTAATTTCTTTCGAACATCACACAGCAAGAACACATGGCTAAGAGGAGCATTACACAATCATAACAAGCGTATGCCTGACGAAGTCATCCATACCCCCACCCATTTTAACAGTTTGATTGGAAAATATTAAACGGCTTATGAGTCAAGCTCTGGAAATAATGTCCAGTAATATAAATTTCGAAAATTCTTAAATACCAAAAGGAAACAATTCAGCATGTGTCTGATAGATGTGGAACATGTCATCCGGAATCGAACCCTACCCTTACTGTTTTCTAAGTCCGACTTAAATAAAATACTAAAATTGCTAAAAACAAAAGGCACCTGTTCAGTATGTGTCTGGTAAAGTTTTGTTAGTAAGTATTGAATGCGTTCTGAATTATGCTCTGGAAACGAACTCTAACCTATAGAACCTAAGTCCAACTTGTTGCCCTGGAAACATAAAAAAATGTATAAAATTCCTAAATAGCAAAAGGCACCAATTCAGTATGTGTCTGGTAAACATGCAAAGATTTGTTAGAAAGAATTGAATGGGTTTTGAGTTATGCTCCGGAAACGAACTCTACCCTGTAGAACCGAAGTCCATCTTGTTGCCATGTAAACATAAACAAGGCACCAGTTCAGTATGTGCCTGGTAAACATGCAAAGTTTTGTAAGAAAGTACTTAACAAGTTTTGAGTTATGTTTCGGTAATGAAGTCCAACTTGTTACCATGGAAACGTAAAAAAATAAAAAAATAAAAAAATAAAAAATAGCAAAAGGCACCAGTTCAGTATGTGGCTGGTAAACATGCAAAGTTTTGTTAGAAAGCATTGAATGGATTTTGAGTTATGCTCTGGAAACAAACTCTACCCTATGAAACTGAAGTCCTACTTGTTGCCATGGAAACAAAAACTTTTTTTTTCTAAAATTCTTAAATAGCAAAAGGCACCAGTTAAGTATGTGACTGGTAGACATGCAAAGTTTTGTAAGAAACTATTAAACAGTTTTTGAGTTACGCTCCGGAAATGAACACCACCCTCATAGAAGTCCAACTTGTTGCCATGGCAATGTTAAAAATTCACAACTCTAAAATTCCTAAATAGTAAATGCACCAGTTCAGCATGAGTCTGATAGACATGCAAAGATTCATGGAGAAATATTAAACTGTTTCTGAGTTATGCTCCGGAAACGATTTCGGGACGCACGCACGCACGCGCGCGCACATACACACGCACGGACAGACGGAATCCATTACAATATCCCTCGCCAACTTTGTTGATGCGGGGCATAATTGTAATCGTCAAGTCGTACACTGAAATAGACACATGTAAAAATGTCAATCTTTCATGAAACGGGAAAACAGTACATCAATAGGCATAACCAGCTCACCTAATTGACATCAGATTATTCATAAATCAGTTGTTTTGTACACATTTACATGACATATATACATGATAGACATTTTCTGGCGTACCAGTATCTACAGGGGGCCCTTCCAGCTCAATGCCACACCCCCACTCCCTACACGCCTGGCTTTGATTATCATTATTACGTGACAAATTGTTTTCATCATTTGTACAGTTTGATTCATAGTTTGATTTCAATAGCTTCATGGTAACCATAATAAGTTGGAAGAATATGCACAGATACATTCTCAAGTCCTCGGACATATACATGGTCAATAAGCGTGCCACTTTCAGTAGTAGATTCTGAAACGATTTGTGTGAAACCATTCGATTCCATCAAAGTCTGTATGGAAGATGACGAAAAGACATTCTCATTGAAATCACCCATGATAATCGATCGAGCAGAATGTTTTTCAAGTTCCTGAACAAGTTGCAATAAATGCTTTCTGAAAATATCAGCTTTGAATGAGGTCGGCCTGTAGATGATAACAACATGAGCTTGCAGTTCCATGACATAAAATGACAGATACTCCAAATTGGATACTGGAAACTGAGGAAATTCACAGGTTTTGTCTTCACTACAATAAACTCCAACGCCACCATGACTTTGATTCTTTAATTCCATCAGTATTGGTTCAGACGATTCATAGGACTGTGCTCTGGGTTTATGATGCAATGTAAATCCATCAAGTTTTGGTTCCTCAAGTTGATGTGTATCAGATAACCATGTTTCTGTCAAGCAAATGAAATCGGCCTCTAAAAACCTACGGTCATTCTGCAAATCTTGAATATGTGATTGAAGGCCCTCAATGTTTTGCATAATGAATGTACATGTAGCATGACCATCATGTAGTTTCTGATTTGCATTCATAAACTTTGGCATACTAGACACTGCTGCCTCGACTTTTTCACTGCAGTATATGACCGACTCTTTGAAATTCTCAATGATAAGACCTCCAAGAGAGGATACTCGACTTAATGCAACATAAGCTTGTCCTGCTGCAAAGATCTTGCCCAATGAAACGACAGCTTTGTTCACTGTTATCCCTTGTACTTTGTGTATAGTGCAAGCCCAGGCTAGTTTGAGTGGAAATTGTCGTCTAATGCCTCCATTGTTTGAAACAGTTTCTTCAAGTGGTGCGATAGGAGTACTGTTTGTTTGTAATGCAGATGCAGTCTCTTTCAGGTTTCGTAATTTGTGACTAACTTTATCATTGTCAAACACAACATATATTCTTGAAGGAAATGCTTCACCATCAGTCAAAGATATGTGGCTAATAGTTCCAAAGACTCCATTCACAAGACCATCTGATGTATCAATATTTTTTGTGATCATCACACGAGCACCAATTGCTACAAATAGACTTTTTTGTAAGACTGAGTTATAAACTTTCACATGAGGGTTTTCTCTCTTTTCCAGTTTTCCTGTTTTTAGGTTTCTTGAGAAATCTTGTGCTTGAATGGAAATTGGATCTGTACATTTAGAATGAAGGGCAGTGACATTGAATTCATCAACCTGAGCGTTTGTCGCAAAAATGTGAATGCAATCGGCATCGTCTTCACCAGTTTCTTGTCGCTTCAGCATATTGATATCACTTGTTTCAAGAGGCTGTGATCTTTTTCGTGTTCGTAACCGATTCAGAAGTTGTGCAAATGCAGGGTCTTTTTGTCTCATGATCGTGGTCAATTCTGTGACAGTGAAATTGTCATTCCACAGGTCATATCCATTTGTGCCAACATATAAAGGTCTACCCTTAACGGGTGGTAACTGATAAAAGTCTCCAACAGCAATTACAGATACATTTCCAAATGGTGAATAATCAGAAGTTTGTTTGATCTGTCTCAGTCTACCATGAATGTATGATAACAGCTTGTGATCAACCATTGATATTTCATCGATGATAAGTATGTGAATACTTTGCAACTTTGATCGAAGGCTATTGACCTTTTCCTCACCAAGTGGCTGGTATGGCAGTTTTGCATCAATTCCAATTGAGAGTGCACTGTGTATTGTGGATGCATTAATGTTAAATGCTGCAACACCAGTTGGAGCTACCAAAAGTACGGACATATCATCTGGATTGCTTTGGATGGGGGCTAGAAGTCGTGTAGATTCATAGCAAATTGCCTTGATCAAATGGCTTTTTCCAGTACCAGCTCCACCAGTCAGAAATAGCTTAAATGCATCAGGATTTTTGCCATTCTTTTTATCCAAACACCATTGTCTTATTTTGTAGAAAACATCAGCTTGTTCCTCATTCATTGATCTCAGAATAGTTTCTGCTTCTTGTCTTGACACTGTACTCTGAAGTAACTCTGTTTTAGATAGTGTTTTATCAGTCTGGAGCAAATCAGGCATGTTTCTAACAGATTCTGTTTCCTCATCGGACATACATGTATGTGCATCTTCACATTCTAGTCTTTCAGATTCAGTCTCTGGACAAATTTGAGCCCAAGCATCTTCCAATTGACCAGATTGTTCAAACAATTCCTTTGCGTCATCAATGACTTCGGCATCCTGCTCAAACATGGCTTTGTTTCTGTCAACAATGTCTTTCACAGTTTCTACAGGACAGTTTGCAATCTGGACAGCACCAGTTTGATAAAATTCTTCATATGAATTGAAGGCGGCTGGTTTTAACTGAGTATCAAATGTATATGGCAAGAATAGCTGCAGCATACTGTGATAGTATTTCTCAGGATCCTTTGTACGAGAAAATCTGGCATATCTGATAATTGCTGCATCAGTTCGAGTGCGTTTTTTCACATGACCAAGGCCATTTTGCAATGTTACAAGTGGACTATGCCGTTTTTCATCAGACGCCCTTGTTACTTCAGATTTTGACACCACTCTGTATTCTGAGCAAAAAGTAGCAAGACACATGCTATTGAACTCAAAACCTTTGGGTCTGCTCTTGTATCGATCAACAATGCTTGTCATCCACATTTCATCTTCATCTAGTTCACCACTCTGTTGTTTGTTTTTCAAAGTTTCAAGAGGCAAACTCATTCTGACAGGGTCTACGGTTGGTATGAACTGTACTTTACGTGATCCTTCCTTCAATCTCAAATTGCAAACTCGAAACACAGCTTCCTGAGCACTCACTTCTCGATTGTGTAAGTATACAGCACCAATTTTCTTCAGAGCAGATTTTGCATCAGTATTATCCTTATTTGCTTCCTTTTGTGCTTGATTCAACAGTAATCCCATTTCTCTTTCTGCCTTTGAGATATACGAAATAATGTACACAACACAAGAGTAGGCATCAACTACATACTGAATGTCCATGTTTGCGTTCCAGCATCTGAGGAGATCTGCATTGTACTGATTGACCCATACATCATTTGGCTTGCGTTTCAACACAACATTTGTTTTTGTGGCTAGGGTTGCACATGCTATTTCAAACATATCTTGTGAAATACCGACAGCAGTGAATAATGCATCGACTGACTCAAATGTTTGCTCATCATTTGTTAGTGCTTGCCAAATCAGTTTCAAAATTGCTTTTGCATCAATGTTGGTCATCAGTTTGACAGATTCACACGTTTGTTCCAAGGTGTTTGGCTCATCTTTATTTTTGTCATTGATATCTTGACCACCTGGTCGTGAAATGAAAGTTTCACTGCTTGGTGGACGAGGGAAATTGAACCTGCAGGTTGTGCCATTTTTCTTACATGTCTTTGAATGTCTTGCGCTATGTTTCTGCACACTGTTGACAATATTGTACAATTCTTCATCAATCTCAACTGAAGGCATTTCACATGTGATGTATTTGTCAATGAAGGATTTTACTGCTTCATCAGTGTCTTTATCAATCTTTGGCGCATTCTCAACCCAGAAAAGGCAATGAGTGTGTGGGGAACCACGGTGCTGGAATTCTACACGATAGAAGTAATCTTTTATCTTTCCAATTGGTTCTGCAGGAGACATGATAACCTCTTTCAAGAAGCAATGAAATCTTTGGTCAAACATTCGTGCTGCTGTCACAGGGTTCTTTCTCAGTACAAAACATTTTTCTGACCAGTCAAGTTCATAGGCTTTGCGTTTATCTCCCTCTGCTCTAAGTATTGTTTCGATCATTTCGGGCCACCTCATATCAGCCGATGAGAATGAACAGAACCAAGTTGGCACACCCAGTTGTCTCAACATTGCAAATAAATCTTTTTGAGCAGATTGCCAAAATGGTGGAGTTCCTCTTATGGGTTTCAAGAACCTGTATCCTTCATCAGATTTTAATATTCCCCTTAGGGAATCAGAATCTGTAAGATTTTCAGCCGTAACATTTGTACAATATGACTGTGATCCCTTTCGCATTGCAATGGAAACATTTGACAAAACTTGTTGAATTTCTGAAAGATACTGAGCATAAAATATGTAGTCAGTGTTTTGAGCAAATCGACGATCAGCATTCATTAGGCGTGTGTGCAGGTAGCGTGAAAGTGTTATTCTCTTCACGATCATCATGGAAGGTAGATGACCCTGAAGGGAACAATACTGGAAATGATCTCGCTTCATTGGTTTCGTCTGTCAATACTCGGACAGGATTATTTTCCTCAGCAGGTGCAACACAGGTTATCCTTTCAAAGTGTTGATCAAGAACTTCTTGGCCAATATCAAGAGGTTGTAGACAGGTATTCAAAAGTAAGCCATGCTCTTTTTCAGTAATTTGTGTGTTTGAGCTATCCTTGTCAAGGTCAGGTAATGTGTCAGTATCAGAGTAATTAGTTTCATCTTCTTCATCAATAACTGGCAAGGGATTGACCCATTCTTCATTGAAATTTACATCTCCATACCATCTATTGTTTGCTTGAAGATATTCTAAGGCATTCTTAACATGAGCTTTGTTGACAAACTGATATTGATAATGGCCTTTGTAAGTTAACTTTCTTTTTAGTTTTACTCTGATCATCTCATCGTCTACATCACATCTCGGTAACATACTGGTGCTTTTCTCAATGTTTGAAGGAACACATACTACAGGTCCGTGTACGCCATTTTGTCCACCTTTTGGTAATGCAATCATTTTCATAAAAGGGATATTCAAGGCAATCAAGTGCTGCTCTAGTTCATTGAGACATTGTAGTTGCATAGGAACAGGGGTCAGTTCAAGGTTGTTAACAACAGCTTCTCCAGGTATTTTGCCAGACAAAAGTTTCCTATGACAAGTATAGCAAATCCATAATGTGCCTTCAGTACTATTGACAAACGGACATTGGTCATCACAACTGCCTGTGCATTTGTGTAGGTAAGTGTCAGTGATGCATTTCTCAGATACAGCTGCTACATTGCTTCCTTTACTTTCATACACAGTTTTTTTGCATTGAACAACCTGTTTTTTGAAAAGTCTTCGATGACACACTGAGCACACAAATTCTGGACCTTCAGAAATGTTCTTCACAAATGATCGTGTAACATTCGCCATTATTTTCCTTTCTTTTACTGTTTGCATAACCCTGGCTGACTGTCTCTCTTTCAAATTCTGTCTATGTTCGCTACTAGTTTTGTACTTTGCAATGCTTGCTGATTTAACGGATTCCCTGTGGACTGTATCTTTGTCATATTTGTCAGTGCTATAGGTTTTTACAGTTTCCCTGTGTTTGGCATCTTTTGCATATTTGTCAGTGCTATAGGTTTTTACAGTTTCCCTGTGTTTAGCATCTTTTGCATATTTGTCAGTGCTATAGGTTTTTACAGTTTCCCTGTGTTTGGCATCTTTTGCATATTTGTCAGTGCTATAGGTTTTTACAGTTTCCCTGTGTTTGGCATCTTTTGCATATTTGTCAGTGCTATAGGTTTTTACAGTTTCCCTGTGTTTGGCATCTTTTGCATATTTGTCAATGCTATAGGTTTTTACAGTTTCCCTGTGTGTTGGATCTTTAGCATATTTCTCAGTACTGAGAGATTTCAATTTGTCCTTGTGCTTAGGATCTTTGGCATATTGCAGACTGCTATATGTTTTAAATGCTGCCCTGTGCTCAGAATCTGTGGCATATTTCTCACTGCTATATGTATTAATTGCTGCCCTGTGCTCAGAATCTGTGGCATATTTCTCACTGCTGTACATTTTTAGTGTTGCCTTATGTTTTGCATCTTCAGCGTATTGCTTTGTGCTGTAGTTTTTGACAGATTCCCTGTGTGCTTCATCATCTCTGTATCTACTTGAACTGGCCTCTTTCTTTCTGTTTCTGAATTCACGTACAGTGTTGTACTTTTGTTTCTCTTTAGTCAGTTTACTCTGTTTCACATTCAAATTCGATGTTTCAGACATATCTTTCTCAGATTTTCTTTTGGCCTGGATATACTCTCTTTTGGCTTTTGCATACTTTTTTTTGTTTTTTTGTCCCTCGGCAGGTGTCGCTTCATAAGAATGAATAGATACTTCGCTATCAAGTTTGTGTTTTTTCAAAACTGATTGTCTGTCATCTACATGTAAATGGTTAGCTTTTCTCTTCCTCATTGTTCGAACACTGCTGTTCAAATGTTTCTCACAATATTTGTCCGTACAGGAGTTTCTCAAGGCACCAAGAGCGTTCACACAAACCACCACTTCGTAATGTGAACCACAAACATGATTTAGATATATGCATCTGCCAGTGTTTGGTACGTCTGTGTTTATCTGACTGCTTGGATATCTCAACCATCTGTTATCAGTGAATGTGCATATGTCAATACCGAGCAGATTTGCAGCTGCAAACATTTCTAGTTCTGTTGCCCATGTTCCAACATACCACATTCTTGATTGAGAGATGTATTGTTCAACAGAGTCATAACCTGCTCTTAAGAATGGATGGAAGCTTTCAGCATGTTCCCTTATGTGTGCCACAACAGCCAGTCGGACTTTTCTGTGATTGTTTTCTTTGCCAGAGATTGCAAAGGACAAACTTCTAAAGAAACAATTGCCATCACCTTCAATATGTACTGTTCTGCATGGTTCACCAATTTCCACACCAAACTCATGGTCTTGACATTTTGGTAAACAGTGATGTTGAATATTGAGTTGTTCGCACAACTGTTCACATACATCTGAAGATATTGGGCAGAAAAGCATCGCATTTTGGTCAATGTTAATTATTTCCACACTACCATCTTGTGAATTCTCGTGTTCATCAATGTGTACCACATCATGTTCACTTTCATTTGTTTCACTGGCAGTATCATCAGGCTGATTTCCAGAGTTGCTCAAATCATGATCATTCACATGTGCCTCAACATCAGAGGTGATTGTCATGCCAGTCACTTCAAATTGCGTGTCTGCATTTAGGTTCATTGAACGTGCAAGATTCATACAGTGTTGCTGGACCTGAAGGAGGGTTGTGTACTGCATAAGAATACTTGTCCCATTAGGGACTTGTAACCCTGCAGTGTTCCGAGAATGGGAATCAAACACATAATATTTCTCGTTTCTTTTTGTAACGGCAAAGGTTGCTCCTCCAAATGTCACAAATGTAGAGTTATGTTCTGAAAACACTGTGCGAAGTGCAGTATCGAGACACTTGATTTGTGGAGTATCTACACTTTCAACAATATCCTTAAGCACAAAGCCACTGAAAGATTCACCACGGCTGAATGTGTATTCTCTATCAAAGATGTTCACGTTTGAAGGAATCTCAGAAACCAGAAGGTATGGATTATGAGTTGTTAATGATCTCTCATCTAATGAATCGCCATAGAGTTTATTTCCTATGCATAGAACGTTATCAAGATCATAGCGATCCCATGAGGAAATGTCCAAAATCTGGTTAAACAACATTGCAGATGCGCTGTTAGCAACACATTGTCTACCACTGTTTTGTCCAAATCTAGGGTGACCTTGATGAAAAGTTCCTTGTACACAGAGTGGTTTTCTATTTACACGCAAGTCCTTTGATGTTTGGGCATTACCAGTGGATTGTTCATGACTTTTTGCGGTGCTTGTAGATGCACAGTTGCTTTCATTTATCTTATCTTTGGGGTTTGCAATATCCCTTACAGGCATTTGTTCAAGAACATGTTCAGTGTTTGCGGTTTGATGACAAGTTTTAACGAGGCTGACTTCCTCAGTATCATGTTCAAGGATATGTTCAGGGTAAGCTTCCCCCTGATGATAATTTGTATCGAGACTGGTTTCATTTGTTTGATTGCTCAATTGCTCATTCATTTGATTGCTTGTAGGCAAATTTTTGTGTGATTTGTTAACGGGGTTTCGTTCCCCGGTATCTTTTTTAGGGAGGTGATACTCCTCCATCCGCTGCTGCATCGCCTGCACCTTCCTCCAATCCTTCCTCCGTGGCATATCTGAAACAAAACGAGAGTAATGAAATTCCCCCCGCCCAACAGATATACAAATATGCACCTGGAATAATGTTTACACCTTTTGTTTGTTTGTTTTTTGACGCCACACTCAGGAAAATTCCAGCTATATGACGGCGGTCTGAAAATAATCGAGTCTGAACCAGACAATCCAGTGATTGACATCATCGGTTGCTGAAGACTTACTACCCCAGATCTCCACTGCTGACACCTAAAAATGTTAAGCTCTATCCCTTAACCCATGCTTGCCGTAAAAGGCGACTAACGGGATCGGGTGGTCAGGCTTGCTGACTTGGTAGATGCATGTCATCGATCCCACATTGCGAGGATTGATGCTCATGATATCAATCACTGGATTGTCTGGTCCAGACTCGATTATTTACAGACCGCCGTCATATAGCTGGAATATTGCTGAGTGCGGCGTTAAACAACAAACCAACCAACCAACCAACTTCTACATTTTCAAACTTCCCTCAAGTTAATTCCAATTAAAGGAAATATGTGTTATCTGTATTCAGTATGAAGCCCTTAACAGGGATCGAGTGGTCAGGTTGACTGACTTGGTTGATGCATGTCATCATATCCCAATTACGTGGATCGATGCTCATTATGTCAACAAGTGGATTGTCTGGTCCAGACTCGACATGCATCGAACCACAAAGATAAGAAAAATGAAAGCAACTGTGCATCAACCAAGTCAGCGAGCCAGACCATCCGATCCCATTACGACAAGCATAGTCACCTTTTACGCAAGCATGGGTTGCTGAAGACCTATTCTACCCCGGAATCTT